TGAGCTTCACAGTTCCAGGTGCAGGAAATGAAAAACGAAATACTCAACATACGGAGGTTCTCATATTAGTTGAATATATTGAATTTATACAAAGTTACAACAATATAGTATTGAGAATGCCAGTAAATAGTTCTTATCGGTATCGTGTGGAGAAAAGTGGGGATGAAATTTATAACAAATGCAGAGTATTAAAAAGTGCTCGTGTGCATTATATAGTGGATGACACTTTTATATACAACTGAGTGGTTATGCCTATGAAGGCATCAATTGCAGAAGAAATACAGAGAAACAGCGCCTGGCACTTCGTTCTCCATGAATGCCACTGCACCAATCAATCTCCCTCAGACTCACTTGCTAACATGACTTATTACTTGCCTAGCAGAAGTTCATTTGGATATTAGAAGCAAAGCTAGTTTATTTAACTAGATCACTCTTTTGGGGGAAGAGCTGATGCCAGATGTTGAATTAGGTTTGCTTCTCCCCAATTTGACTCTTAAGGAACTCCAGCACTGAAAGCCGCTGCATTTGAAACAAAATGTTAAGTCAAACTGATCAGAATCCAAACCACTTATTGAATGAAGTCAAGCAAGGAAAATCTTACCCGTTGCTCAAGACCAGTGTCTTCAGATTTTAACGTCAAAGATTCCAACAATTTTATGCCTTCTTCAAATTCATCAATTGCAACATCCTCGTCTCCTAGATTCCTGTCAACATCTGCAACTTTTGCAAACGAAACAGCTAGATCCAGAATCTGTAATTTCAAGAAGAGATGCACAAAGCCAAAGTAAGGAAACATGGTTTTCTAGGTATAAAAATATGCCTTCTAAATTACAACATTAAATGACTCTAAGAGTAATAGTAAATGCACTTCAGTAATTCATCTGGGATATAATTCATAATTACAAAAAGTTCCACGGTTTGCAGCAACCAAAAATACATGCTATAATCTGGAAATTTTTCTTAAAAGAAAGGAGCTAGGTGTTGACATTTGAAAAGCTCTAACAAACACATTTGAAATGAAAGAGCTTCTTGAAGTTCTTCAATTGCCAAATCGGTAATGGGTAGAAAGGCTCATAAAGAATGTCAAGTGTGAGACTAATATGCGGAGATGCAAAGTTTAAGAATGTCTGATGTGGGATTATATTCTGAACACCTTTCTCCTTCCATAAAATTCAATAAATAATGGTATATTTCTCTTATCCCTGCTCTTCCTTAGACTTAACAAATTGTTAATTCCAACAATAATGCCAAAACACAATTTTTCTACCACTAAACTGTTCACCCTCATACTACATATTATATGTATAACTCTTGACCAAAAGGAAAAAAAAACACATATAACATCGAGGTTGGTCTCATTTCTTACTCTCCCAGTTCACATAAAATACAATGTAGGAACGAACAGCGTACAGCATAGGAATATTTACATCCTGTGTGTATTGGTCCTATTTCGAGTCTCAACCCAAGTTATTTATATACATGCAAAAGATTTTTCATAAACAGTGTTCGTAATGACAACAATGGTTTTTTTCAGGTTCAGGCTCGTTACAGTTAGATTCTACAAGCAACGATATTTGGTAAAACAAATTCCTAATTCAACACAACGCATCATTCACACAAGCTATATGCAGAAGTCTTGAAAATATTATTGTGCTTAAATATGAATACACAACTAACTGAATGGACCGGTTGCAGCCGAGTCAATCCACTATGGTGATCAAGTAACATATACTAAATCAAGTATTTCAGATCAAATTAACCAAACATATCAAACACATCTGATGACTCATAAGTCAAAGCTAATGAGATAAACTAGTATCAATATATTGCCAAACGTATTTAAATGACTATTTATGGAAAAATAAATTGTTAGTAGTAGTATTACTACTGTGAGTCAAATAAAAGAAGCCTAAATGACAAGGGGGCTGAAAAGCTAAAAATAGTTGCTGACCTGGGATGGAACATTTGGACCATCCTTGACAGCATCACGTCGAACATTCAACGACTGGAAGTAGTAAGACCGCGCAGCTTTCAGGTCTCCATCGTAGTATTTAAGATCTCCAATTTTATTAAGTGAAATAGAAAGTGTATGTGTTATCTGTAAAATGATTTAAGGAAGAACAACTATATCAGGTCAAGAACGGCTAGGACAAACTGCTGATATTACAGTAAAAGTTGGATGTAATAACCTCCTGATCGTTTCTGGGCAGTTTTGAAAGAAACTCAACACTCTCTTCAAAGTAACTGACTGCTGAACCAGCATCTCCTGTTGCCCGACTGAAAAACAAAACAAAAAACAAAAAACAATTAAAATCCACTAAAGTAAACAAATCAGGGATCATTGTCGAATTCATCATGAAGTTAGTATCAGTCTAAGATACACATATGCAGAAATCCACTAAGTAGTTATTTCTACATTGAAGACATCCTTAAAAATCAGATCTAGTAAATAAAAATTCATCTCAAAACTTTATTAACAATCTAGTTATGCTCAAATAGATAATCTCCAAATTTAATCAACAATGTGATGATTTCTAAACCTGCATGCAGAATTGATAATCCACTATGTCTTCAGTCCAGAGCTTTGCAGCAGTGACAACCACAGGCTATATTATATTCCAACTATAATTTTCTTTGTTGGCGACTTAGTGATTAGATTTAATCCATATATGAAGTACAATTCAAAGATTAATTATTCTCTATATATTCTTATAATAACTCAGGGATTTAATTATTCGGGTTTATTTATCTCATATATCTTAAAAGGGTATAATTTTATTAATTATGGGATGGCCTATGTAAATAGCTCACTGTAATACAGTTGAGATTTGGCAAACTCATTAAGAATTTAAATATTGATGTTAACCCTAATTCATTATTTCCTCTTCTCCGACATTTTCCTATATCTCCCTATTGTCTCGTTCTCTCCTCTTCATCTCTTTCTCTGTCCTAACTCAATGAGTATTAGAATCCTTAACCAATTTTGGTGCCATCACCCATTTCTTAGAACTCAACCACCAACAACCTTGAATCCATTGCGCATGTTGCCACTGCAACCATGCCAGTTGTCATGTGACAAATTCCAGACACTAACCTTGCTTTTGAGAACCTCACAAAAACCATCACCAACCACCATCAGTATTCTGCGCACCAACACTAGAATAAGATGATCTACAAGTTCATGCAAAAATAGTTGGAAACCACCAGTGACTCAACCTCACCGTTGCCACCAATTGCCATACTGCTCCTCTTAGTAACCAAAACCTTTGTAGCAGTCAGAAGTCACCTATCTTCCCTATGGTCCAGTCGCTGTCAACAACTGTTATCCCATGTGACTACCTAAGACCCATTTATTGCTGTCTCACAGACCTGGTCCAAGTCTAAACAGACCAGTTCTCACTGATATTGCACGGTTTCGTTTTGAGTTTTAACACATTAATCCCAATACTGTTTGATTTTAACATATCTTTGATATACCAGTCCAGTTCAGCTCAATTCCATCCGAAATTGACCAAAAGAAAACAAGTGTAGTCTGATATAATGGAGAAATTTTTTAAGAGAAAATGAGTTAACAGTCTCAATTAAAGATTTTCTTCCTGTTCTACCCATCCAAACAAGAATGTAAAAAGAAAACATTGCATTTCGCCTCATCATTAAGGACTGAAAGAGTGCTGTTCAGGACTGAGTTTTTTCCTGATGTATTGATAGCATAGGATGTACTACTTCTCCACCTTTAATTACTTTGTACTCTCTTGTCCAATAAACTTTATGTTTCCTATAAAAAGTAATTAATCTAAGCTATATTTATTAAAGCAAGAACTAGACTGGAGGAGAAAGGGTTCAATGGTCTTTCACTATGTATCATCTAAGGATCAAGTTAAAAAAACATCCATGCCACTCAAGTGCTCTACTTGATATCAAATCTAACAATTTTTGTGTGACAGATGAAACCACAGAAGTATAACTGTCACAAATAAAGCGCTGGTGACTTCAGTATTCTTGGGCCTTACCTTGGGAGATGTATATGCAATTAATCCATTCTTTAACTTGGAGGGATAGAAAAGAGAGTAAAACAATGAGTTGAGAGAGAGAGAGAGAGAGAGAGAGAGAGAGAGAGAGAGAGAGAGAGA